TGGGTTGCAGGCCAGTTCCCAGCAGGAGACACACAAGAAGCAACCATACATTGATATTTCTCTCCCTCTCTCCTTCCCTTCCCCTCTAAGGATAAATAAATAAAATCTTTAAAAAAAGAGAGAGAGAGGAAGGGAAATAGTAAGAGAGAGAAAAATAAAACATTGACCTGCTGTTGCACTTATTCATGCACTCATTGGTTGATTCCTGTATGTGCCCCATCCGGATATTGAACCTGTAACCCTGGTGCATCAGACAACGCTCTAACACTCTGAGCCACCTGGCCAGGTTGTTTTAGTTAAAGTAGCTGTATTAATAGTGTTTTCCACCAAGATGGTGGAGTATATAAACTCCGTACTCGCATCCTCCCCTGACTACATCAAAATTACAACCAAACTACAGAAAAACTATCATTGAGAACCACCTCAAATTTAGCTGAACAGTTCTTATACATAAGGATATACAGAATAATCCATATGGAGACTGGTTCAAGGGGCAGAGGCACTGAATGAGCTGGTAGCACACCCACATGTGGTGTTTAAAAATTGGGGAGCAATATCTCGGTTATGGAAAGCCCCTCTGAGACGCAGGAGTCTTACCCCCACTTCAGGCATCCCAGCCCAGGGTTCCAGTGCTGGGAAGAAAAGTACCCATAACTTCTGGGTGTGGAAACCAGCAGAGATTGTGGCTGAGTGACACAGAGGGCTACTGAAGTCTTAGGCATTTCTCTTAAAGGGCCCATGCACAAACTTACTTGGACTTACTCATTCTGAGATCTAGTGCATGAACAACCTCTCAAAGGCTGTCAGGGACATACAAGGAAGAACTGGATTGTCTGGTTTTTGGGTAAGGGCTGGAGGAGCAGCTCTCTCCCAGACTGAAGTGGTGGCTGAAGCCTGCCTTTTTTCCCCCTAAGCAGACATAGGCAGGCACCATATCTTAGTCTCCATAAAAAAATAATAAAATAAAAATGAAGGGTTATTTTAAATATCATTGGTTTTGTGTTCTGTCTTTATTGTTATTTATTGTCTTTGCACTAGAATCTGGCGATATAGGGTTTTTTTTTTTTTTTTGGTACAGGCCTTGTAAGAACAGAATATTTGGGGCATATCTCAATGTACCACCTGTTCTTTTTCTTAATTTTGGAGATTTCATTTGCCCTTTAACCTCAAGCCTCTGATGGATATAAGAATAATTGTTTATCCGGACAAGATGGAGGCATAGGTGGAAATATTGTGCCTCCTCACACAACCAGAATTAAGGACAACAAAGATTTAGAAACACAAACACAACCAGGACAGACATAAAATTGAACTGTAAACTGTATGGAAGTCCAACAACCATTCATCCAGACCAGTAAGAGGGGCAGAGTTGGCAGCCAGTGGAGAGGGGTCGCGGCAGGAAAAGGTGGTGGCTGGCAGACCTGGGCATGGGGAGGAAATGAGCAGACCCTATGAGGCATGCAAGGTGGTTGGCTGACCATGAACACACATTCATGTGCAGATAAACTAGACAAAAATGGGCAGCGAGACAGACCTTGCAACCCAGGGCCCCAGTGATCAGAAATAAAGCCCAAAAGCACCGATTGAAAACACTTGTGGAGGTTGAGGTTCTGGGAAAGACTCCCACCCTCACAGGAGAGTTTGTTGGAGAGACACACAGGGTCCTAGAATGTGCACAAGCCCACCCACATGGAAAACAGCTCCAGAAGGGCTCAATTTGCTTGTGGGAAGCGGCAGAGGGGACTGGGATTCAAGGGAGAGTAAAACAAGCACCATTGTTCTCTCTCTGACCCTGCCCCCACATACGGAGTCACAACCCAGGGACAGGGGTTGCCCCACCCTGGTGAACACCTAATGCTCTGCCCCTCATACATAACAGGCACAACCTGACTAAAAAATTATGGCTCAAACAGAAGAACCAATCAAAGCCCCAGATCCAATACTTTTTTTTAAGTTCTTTTTTTAAAAAAAATTATTTATTTATCTGTCTATCTTTAGAGGGGAAGGAGAGAGGGAGAGAAACATCAGTGTATGGTTGCCTTTCATGCCTCCCTTGCTGGGAACTGGCCTGCAGGGAACCGGCCTGCAACCCAGACATGTGCCCTGACTGGGAATTGAACCGAGATCCTCTGGTTCGCAGGCCTGTGCTCAATCCACTGAGCTACACCAGCCAGGGCTCCAATACTTTTTTAAGTGACCAAGAAATAGCCAACTTATCAGATGCACAGTTCAAAGCACTGGTGATCAGGACGCTCACAGAACCGGTTGATTTTGGTCACAAATTAGATGAAAAAATGAAGGCTACACTGAGTGAAATGAAGAAAAATGCACAGGGAACCAATAGTGATGAGAAGGAAACTGGGACTCAAATCAGTGGGTGACCAGAAGGAAGAAACAAACATCCAACCAGGGAAGAATGAAGAAACAAGAATTCAAAAAAATGAGGAGAGGCTTAGGAACCTCCAGGACATCTTTAAACATTCCAACATCCAAATTATAGGGGTACCAGAAGGGGAAGAGGAAGACCAACAAGTAGAAAACTTATTTTAACAAATAATAAAGGAGAACTTCCCCAATCTGGCAAAGGAAATAGACTTCCAGGAGTCCAGGAAGCTCAGAGAGTCCCAAAGAAGTTGGACCCAAGAAGGAACACACCAAGGCACAGCATAATTACAGTAGCCAATATTAAAATGAAGGAGAGAATCCTAGAAGCAGCAAGAGATTAGGGGACCATCACCTACAAAGGAGTTCCCATCAGACTGTCAGTGGATTTCTCAAAAGAGACCTTACAGGCAAGAAGGGGCTGGAAAGAAGTATCCCAAGTCATGAAATGCAAGGACCTACATCCAAGATTGCTCTATCCAGCAAAGCTTTCATTTAGAATGGAAGGCCAGATAAAGTGCTTTTCAGATAAGGTCAAGTTCAAGGAGTTCATCATCACCAAATTCTTATATGAAATGTTAAAGGGACTTATCTAAGAAAAAGAAGATAAAAATATGAACAGTGAAAGGACAGCAAACTGAGTTATTAACAACCACACCTAAAACGAAAGCAAACTAAGCAGACAGCTAGATCAGGAACAGAACCACAGAAATAGAGATCACCTGGAGGGTTAGCAACAGGGGAATGGGAGGAGGAGAAGGGGGGAGAAGGTACTGAGAATAAGTAGCACAGACAGTAGAGAGAAAATAGACAGGGGGAGGGCAAGAGTAGTGTGGGAAATGTAAAAGCTAAAGAACTTAAGACACATGGACATGAACTGAAGTGGGGGAATGTGGGTGGGAGAGGGTGTGCGGGGTGGAGGGGAATGAAGGGGGGGAAATGGGACAACTGTAATGGCATAATCGATAAAATATATTGTTGAAAAAAGAAAAAAGAATAATAGTTTATTTCACTTTTTTTCTTTAAAAAAAGATTTTATTTATTTATTTCTAGAGAGAGGGATAGGGAGGGAGAAAGAGAAAGAGAGAAACATCAGTGTGTGTTGCCTCTCACATGCCCCCGACCAGTGAGTGACCTGGCCCGCAACCCAGGCATGTGCCCTGACAGTGAATCAAACAGGCGACCCTTTGGTTATCAGGCCAGCACTCAATCCACTAAGCCACACCAGCCAAGGCACTTTTTTTTTTCTTTTTGATGAGATTGAGAATGGCAGCTCTGAAGTTCTCTAAGTGCCACACCATAAGGTGGCAAGTCAGCCTCTAGAGTGACTTGTCAGGAGAATTTTTCTTTGAAATTGGAGAGTGGAAATTTTGTGTTCTTTTAGAAGGAAGGACTGTGGAACCTTTTATGTGTTCTGTAATCATGACCAAGATCACTATCCGACTACATGGACTTCAGTGAAGTCCCTGGCAGTCTGCAGCTCTTAACCTGTTTCTCAAGGGCAGTGAGGCCCAGGGTACCCCATGAGGTTTGACCAAAAAGAACTCTCCTGGCCTGTTCTCTCACTATGTGTTCTAGAATTTGGCAGGAAGCAGCCCTGAGCGTGAGTACAGGGATTTTGTGGCATAGCTTGTTATGGCTTCTTTGTTGTGTCTGAACTCTAAGTTTCAAAGAACCTTCTTGCCCCATTAAACTGGACAGAGAGGGAAAGGAAGAACTAAGTCTGTGATAAGTACTACATAAATTACAAGCAATGCTTCTGCACAGTCATATTTACATTGAGCCAGTTGTGTCTGATTACTGGTAAAGGCCTGGACTTTAGGACAACATTGTCAGCTGGCTTACTTGAAAGTGATTTTCACAGGCCTCCTGGACTCTCATGTTGGGTTATGGGAATAGAAGTTGGCTTCCAGTTTTTCACTGTTTTATTTATTGAAACATCATGCAGATTTAACCCTCTGCCTTGTGGATTGCTATAAATGGTGGGTGATAGTACATGAAAGAATTATTTTCATGAGAAATTAGTGGTCTTAAAATGATAGTACATGTTTCAGCTGTACGGCATTTCTGTTATTTTCAAAAATGGTCAAGATTCTGATATTACAGAGAAATAAGATGTATTATGCCAGGTGTGGTAGTGCACACCTGTAGTCCCAGCTCCTTGGGAGGCTGAGGCAGAATGATTGCTTGAGCCCAGGAGTTCTGGGCTGTCGTGAGCTATGCCAGTCGGGTGTCCGCACTACGTTTGGCATCAATACGGTGACGTCCCTGGAGGGTGGGCCATGAGGTTGCCTAAGGTGGGGTGAAGGACCGGGTTGGAAATGGAACAGATCAAAACTCCCATGCTGATCAGAAGATGTATTATGAGCACAGTAAGAATATATAAGTAGTTTCCGGGTGGTCAAAATGCTGTTAAATTTATGAGAAAGTAACTTTTCAATGACCAAGTTATAAATATCTAGAGACAAGAGAATTTTAGGTAACTTTTCTGTAAATGGAGTCTAGGTGCCCAGTGCTGACATTCTCACATTTTACTCTGTGTGTGTGTGTGTGTGTGTGTGTGTGTATATATATATATATATATATATATATATATATATATATATATGGTGTTTTAGGACTCCCTTGCTTTTGAGGATGTGTCTGTGAACTTCAGTCTGGAGGAGTGGGCCTTACTGGATCCTTCACAGAAGAAGCTCTACAGAGATGTAATGACAGAAACCTTTAGGAACCTGGCCTCCATAGGTAAGGATGAGGACATTCCTTCAGTCATCAGTTAGAGAACAAGAGTTTCTTGCTTAACAATGTTGTTTCAAGTTCTGTAATGTGGAAAAGGAAGATGCTGGTAAATAATCTGGGTATGGCTACAGCTCTTCATGATCTTGGAGCAAATAATTTGTCTATTGTTCTAATTCTTTGAAATCCTTTTTCTGGGTCTTCCTTTTAGGAAAAAGATGGGAAGAACATGACATCAAAGATCAGTACAAAAAGCAGAGGAGAAAATTAAGGTGAGTCACACTTGCAAGAGAAAACAGTGTCTCATGGGAGGATTGTAGTATTGGGTTGGTTAAAAAGTTTTTTTTTTGTAAGATGTCTCTACTTGTACTTATTTTTCTTTAACTTCATTTGAAACAGTTTTGTTAGATTCCACTGTGACAGCTGCCAGATCAGTGTGCATTAAAAAAATATCAAAATTGGTGAATTTTTGTGTAGCCATTTTAATATTGAAAATGGAAGGAAATACGCAACATTTTCAGCACATTATGCTTTGTTATTTCAAGAAAAGTAAAAGTGCAAATGAAATGCAAAAAAAGAAAAAAAAAGATTTGTGCAGTGTATGGAGAAGGCTGTGACTGACTAAATTGTCAAAAAGTGGTTTGTGCCCCTGGCTGGTGTGGCCCAGTGGACTGAGCACCGGCCTGTGAACCTGCCCGGGTCCAGCCTCGGCAGGGTTCAGGGTTCCCAAAGCATGGACGGCGCAGACAGTCAATGAAGAGTCACACACCCGATTGGATGCCAGAAAACAGCCAGCCTCTGTGGGTCTGACCGAACTCTCAGAGTTTGATTTAGGCTTTATTTTTATAGAGATTGTTACATAACATTAAAGGACCAGGTGTATGGAGTGATCAGTTAAGCAGAAAAAACCAATACAGAGGTAACCAGGAAAAGTACAAGAATTTCCATAGTTTCAGTTATGTTAAACAAAGATTGTTTTGACCAGGAGAGCCATTAATCAGACATTTAGAAATAGCTGTATGTACAGAGTTTAGATGTCTCATTGTTTATTAAAATTTTTAGAATTTGGTATGGAGCAAAAGGATACGCTAGACTGAGCAGAGGTTATAGGAAATTTGTTAGAAGGCCTTTGTGATGTTTAAGTTAGCTATCTATCTTTCTGTCTAAAATGTTTCTTTATGTAATATGGACTCTGACTCCTTGGTAATTGTTTCTATGTGCTTAGTTTGTAATAGCTAACCAGCTTCTCCTGTTTCTTTGCCTGTCTAATTCTAATTAATATATATTCCTGTTTAAGGTGGAGGAGGAGCTGTTACTCCATCAACTTTTAGACATTCAGGGGCTACTTCATTAGGGGTGGACTTTGTTCTATGGCCAAGAAATCATTTTGTACAACTTCATTGGAATTATGTGGATCATTGGGCCTGAAATGCAGGTGTCTAAAAATCCCACCACCTATTAATCACAAAAGCAAACATGCAGGGAGAGATAGACAGGAAGTCCAGCCACAGTTGCCTGTGCTGTGCAGATGCATCTCATCTGTCTTGACTGTGTCAAGGGGCGGCTGCTGGTCGGCTCCCAACATGAACCAAAGGGTCTCCAGTTCAATTCCTAGTCAGGGCACATGCCTGGGTAGTGAGCCAGGTCCCCAGTAGGGGGAGCATGAGAAACAGTCACATATTGATGTTTCTCTTCTTCCCTTTCTCTCTCCCTTCTCCCTCCCTTCCCCTCTGTCTAAAAATAAATAAACAATTCAAAAAACTGGTTTGTAAAGTTTTGTGCTGGAGATTTCTTGCTGGACAATGCTCCACAATCATGTAGACCAATTGAAGTTGATAGTGGTCAAATCAAGACATTAATTGAGAGCAATCAACATTATACCACATGAGAGATAACCAACATACTCAAAATATTCAGATCAGTAAAGTTATTGGTGAAAGTGAAAAATGTGTTTTTTTATTTTATGGAAAAAACTCAATGGACTTTATGGCCAACCCAATATGTTGTGAAATATTCTTTAAAAATATATTTTATTGATTATATTATTTCAGTTGTCCCATTTCCCCCCTTCATTCCCCTCTACCCTGCACACCTTCTCCCACCCACATTCCCCCCCTTTAGTTCATGTCCATGTGTCTTAAGTTCTTTAGCTTTTACATTTCCCACACTACTCTTGCCCTCCCCCTGTCTATTTTCTCTCCACTGTCTGTGCTACTTATTCTCTGTACCTTCTCCCCCCTTCTCCTCCTCCCACTCCCCTGTTGCTAACCCTCCAGGTGATCTCCATTTCTGTGGCTCTGCTCCTGTTCTAGCTGTCTGCTTAATTTGCTTTTGTTTTAGGTGTGGTTGTTAATAACTGTGAGTTTGCTGTCCTTTCACTGTTCATAGTTTTTATCTTCTTTTTCTTAGATAAGTCCCTTTAACATTTCATATAAGAATTTGGTGATGATGAACTCCTTGAACTTGACCTTATCTGAAAAGCACTTTATCTGGCCTTCCATTCTAAATGAAAGCTTTGCTGGATAGAGCAATCTTGGATGTAGGTCCTTGCATTTCATGACTTGGAATACTTCTTTCCAGCCCCTTCTTGCCTGTAAGGTCTCTTTTGAGAAATCCACTGACAGTCTGATGGGAACTCCTTTGTAGGTGACGTTCCCCTAATCTCTTGCTGCTTCTAGGATTCTCTCCTTCATTTTAATATTGGCTACTGTAATTATGCTGTGCCTTGGTGTGTTCCTCCTTGGGTCCACCTTCTTTGGGACTCTCTGAGCTTCCTGGACTTCCAGGAAGTCTATTTCCTTTGCCAGATTGGGGAAGTTCTCCTTTATTATTTGTTGAAATAAGTTTTCTACTTGTTGGTCTTCCTCTTCCTCTTCCCCTTCTGGTACCCCTATAATTTGGATGTTGGAATGTTTAAAGATGTCCTGGAGGTTCCTAAGCCTCTCCTCATTTTTTTGAATTCTTGTTTCTTCATTCTGTTCTCGTTGAACATTTCTTTCTTCCTTCTGGTCACTCCACTGATTTGAGTCTCAGTTTCCTTCCCATCACCACTGGTTCCCTATGCATTTTCCTTCATTTCACTTAGCATAGCCTTCATTTTTTCATCTAGTTTGTGACCAAATTCAACCAGTTCTGAGTGTCCTGATCACCAGTGTTTTTAACTCTTCATTTGATAGGTTTGCTATCTTTTAGTCGCTCAGTTGTATTTGCTGTGGAGCTTTGATCTATTCTTTCATCTGGGCCTTTTTTTTTTTTTTTTTTTTGTCTTGTCGTTCCTGTTATGTATGAGGGATGGTGCTTAGGTGTTCACCAGGGCAGGGCAACCCCTGTCCTTGGGTTGTAACTCTGTATGTGGGGGCGGGGTCTGAGAGGGAGCATTGGTGCTTGCTCTGCTCTCTGTTAGACCTCAGTCTCTTCCACCACTTCCCCCAAGCAAACTGGGCCTTTCTGGTGCTGATTCCCGTGTTCATGGGCTTGTGTGTGTTTTAGAACCCTGTGGGTCTCTCCAATGAACTCTTCTGTGAGGCTGGGAGTCTTTCCCTGTGCCTTGACTCCCACAAGTATTTTCAATCAGTGTTTTGAGGCTTTATTTCCCAGTGCTAGGACCCTGGGTTGCACGATCTGTCTCACTCCCCAGTTATCTGCCCTCAAATGTGGACCACTGCCCGGTAAGCCAGCCGCCTTGCACATGGTGCCCCACATCTCAATCACCCCCTTGCTGGGTCTGTCCATTGCCACCCCATGCCCAGGGTCTGCCAGCTACCACCTGGGTGCCCAGGGTTTGCCTGGTGCCATCTGGTGTGCCTGGGGTGCCCTGGGCACCCTCTGTCACCTCTTCCTGTGTCCCAACCCCTGTCTGCTCCACTGCCTGACTCCGCCCTGCCTACCTGTCTGGATGAATGTGTCTATTTCATCTCTTTGGCTGTCTGACTTCCATACAGTTCAATTTTGTCAGTTCTGGTTGTTATTTTGTTTCTAAATTTTTGTTGTCCTTATTTTGATTGTGCGAGGAGGCACAGTGTATCTACCTACCCCTCCATCTTGGCTGGAAGTCTATTGTGAAATATTTAAAATATGTAGCAAACAAAGCAAACAAACTCTGCTTCAAATGTATTCTTTTTATAAAAAATTTTAACAGTACTCTTTTAAATGTAACATCTATGTTCAGTGTTTACTAAATAGTTCACTTGGAAACAGCATTAATAAACCCTATATGTGAATATCAGTTTTATAATAACAAGGGTAAAGTCTTGGAGAACATTCAGTATATTTTCAGATGAGATTGGGTGCATTCAGGGTGGTATGGCCCCAGACTTAGTATATTTTCAGACAAGACAGAATATCTATACTTTTTCTATAATTCATAATAGATACAATTAATATAAAATTATTAATAAAGAAATCACTAATAATGTGCTTATTTTTTATAGAAGTCCAGTGGTAGTGAGAATCTGTGAAAGTAAACAGGTTAATCCATGTGGAGAAACGTTCAGCCTTATTTCAAATCACAATCTGAAGGAAAAAACCACCAGAGTGAAACAGCATGACTGCAGAATATGTGGAAAATTTTTTAGGTCTCGTTCATCCCTTAGAGGCTACAACAGATGTCACACAGGACACAAAGCATATGAATTTCAGAAAAATGGAGAGAAGCCTTATAAGTGTAAAGAATGTGATAAAGCCTTTAGTCGCCTACTGTGGTTGGAAAAACATGAAGGAACCCACAATGAAAAGAATCCCTATGTATGTTCAATATGTGGTAAAGCCTTCAGGTCTTCCAGAAATGTTAAAGTACATGAAAGAACTCACACTGGAGAGAAATCCTACGAATGTAAAATAAGTAGTACAGCATTTAGGTATCTCAGTGATCTTCGAAGACATGAAAGAACTCACACTGGAGAGAAACTCTATAAATGTAAAATATGTGGTAAAACTCATAGAGACCACTGGTCTCTTAAAATACATGAGAGAGTTCATACTGGAGAGAAACCCTATGAATGTAAGAAATGTGGTAAAGCTTACATATCTTTCAGGTCCTTAAAAAGACACAAATCTACTCATACTGTGGAGAAACCCTATGAATGTAAACTATGCAATACGGCATTTAGGTATGCTAGTGATCTTCAAAGACATGAAAGAACCCACACTGGAGAGAAACCCTATGAATGTAAAATATGTAGTACAGCATTTAGGTATATCAGTGATCTTCGAAAACATGAAAGAACTCACACACGAGAGGAATACGTGGTAAATGTAAATGTAAAATACGTGGTAAAGCCCACAGAGAGACAAAAAAACACAAAAAACTCACACTATGTAGAAACCCTATGGATGAAAAATATGTAATACAACAGGAAGAGACATACCTTGTACTCTAGCAGGAAGGTGTTTCTACTACCCAAACAGAGGTAAGATTTCTCCTAACCCAGCACAAGACCATCCACTGGGAACTGTTAAAACTCAGTCATTGAAGAGTCCTCACAACCTTGAACTCTGACTTGCCTCTAATGAACTTTGACTTAAAGCACCCCTTCCAAACTTCCTTCTTTTTCTCTAGAAAGTAACATTCTTCTTTGTTTGTTCAACCTGCCTATAGATTTTGCTCTGGTTTGTTTGCGCCAAAATACAGTTCTCTGCTATTACCAAATAAACCCACTTTGCTAGTTAAATAGTTAGATTTTTCAGTAAATCTCCAAAGCACTCCAAATACACAAACACTTTAGAGGGTTGTGTTTGTTTTTAGGTTTTTCATGAGAGACAAAGTCCCTGCAGCCATGGTGTGTACCTGGGGGACCTACTAACTTTGGTCTATTTATTTAGCAGCCTGGCAGAGTTCTGTTTCCTTAAAAGGGCTTCTTGCTGCATGGGGGTAGGCTGTACTGGTAAGGTGCCATCTATAGCACAACAAATGAAAATAAACACTTAACATTAGTAAAACCTTTGAAGAGAGTTCAGGATCCACACTGACACTTTTTGGGTTTCTCCTGTTCCCTAGGATGAATACATTCAAATATTTTTTGAGGCGTCATCTTAATTATATGTTTTTTGTGCTTTTCACATCACTTTTCAATTAATACTTGAGTTCAAATACATAAAAATGAAATGTGTCATTATTCAATTGTCATTAATAAAGCTCTGACCTCCTTTTTAATATTTGACTTTTTTTTAAAAAGATTTTATTTATTTATCTTTAGAGGAGAAGGGAAGGAGAGAGGGAGAGAAATATCAATGTATGGTTGCCTCTTGTGCATCTCCCCAGGGGAACTGGCCTGCAACCCAGGCATGTGCCCTGACTGGGAATTGAACTGAGATCGTCTGGTTCGCAGGCCTGCACTCAATCCACTTAGCTACACCAGCCAGGGCTTAATATTTGACTCTTAATTTGCTTTAGAGACCTGCTTATCTTGCCTGGCCCTGAATCAGTAAAGAAGTTATGAAAGTTGATACATGTCTTTATGTGAGTCAGCGGGTGGAGGGCCAAGCCTTGAAAACACTCAGCCTCCATTTTTACACATGAAAGGGCCAACCCATTCACCTTTGCACAAATCAGTGAACCAGCTTACCCTTGCTTGTTCTTCTCTCCTTTGAGAGTACATTAATAAACAATTTTCATTCAGTTGATGCATATGGTGACATCAGTTTTGGGATCCAGTTTTATTTTAGTCCGGGTGTTAATACTGTTCCCAAAAGGGCACTGATACAAAAAAAGTTAACGCATGGAAAATGTTTTCAGAGTATTTTTTTTAATACTCACCTGAGGATATATTTATTGATTTTATACCTCCCACATGCATTCCAACTGAGGATTGAACCGGAAACTTAGGTATGTGCTCTGATGGGGATCAAACCTGCAACCTTTTGGTGTATGGGAGCACATGCCAACCAACTGAGCCACCTGGCCAGGGCCCGGGAATATTTTGTACTTGGCTCTTGTGGTTCTTATGATTTGAAGATGTCCTTCAGCAATAACCATCAGGAAACTTGGAGAAAGATTATTCACAATACCTGGAAATTATACAGCATGCCTGGGGCTGTACAACAAGGTTGCTGGGAGGAAGGGAAAGAGGACATGCGTTGATGGGCCTGAGGTTTTGCTTTAATTGGAGTTAGGACTGGGCTCCTAGTGTTTCATGAGCTGCCTCTTTGTTGGTGGATTTAAAACACAGGAATGGGAATTTAAAGCACGAAGAGAGAAAACAAGCTGCTCAGTTACTGAAATCGACTAAGATTTCTAAAACAGAGGAGTCTCAGTGAGGGAAGGTGGCTGGGTTCTTTATCTAGTCCTGTGGCTGGCAGTGTGTTCATTCAAAATCCACTTCGAAGTGGATGCCTCAGAAATCAAAGCTTTAGTCATGCATTTGCATTACAACAAAGAAAAACCCAAATGTCAGCCCTTACACCATAGGGTGACAATCAGGTATTCAGGATAGGGAATTATTATATTATGAGGAAAACAAATCCAAATACAGAGATCTCAGTATGAGAATGTTTTTAGATGTATTGGTCACAAAATAAAACTTTGAAAACTGTCCACATGGTGGTCATTAGCAGTAGAATCAGTAAGTAAAAATGATTTTGTGTCACAGGGAAAAATACAGAACAACACAAATGAATGGATTGTTCTGCTCTGATTTGTAAAGAGCTCTTGTCTTTACAACAACAACAACAAACCCTGAAAAACATCATTTCTTATACCCATGAGAGATTTGAGATCACATGGCAAACCAATACTCCCAAAATGAGAGACAGGTGAATATGGAGAATTACTACTTTCCTGGAAGATACTAAAGCTAGTATCTTCTAATACAGAAGCTGTTAATGATTAATTTTCTGGAGGCAAAGTGGACTAGCCTCACAGTTAAAATCTTAAGGGAGTCGGTCTAATAGGGGGCTCAAGAGTTGGAAAATTTTAGTTTAAGGTAAAAAGTTATAAGCCTAGCAAGTAATGTATATGTTAAAGCTTTTGTTTCAGAAACTACAGATAGATAAGGCCCATCCTGGCTCCTGGGAGAACAGCTGACCTCCTGGGGCACTGCTAAAGATTACTGCCTGGGCACAAGTGGAGGCATCCAGACCTTTGTGTTCCAAGGAGAGACAGATGACCACCACCCCTGGGAACAGCTAACTACCCAGGACAGGAATGCTGCAGCTTTGCTCACCTAATCCTCCCAGAATCTCAAAGCCCTCACATCTTGTTTATTCCCTGGTAAGGGAATGGAAAGGGAAGACAAGATGGTGTGTTAGGATATGAACCTGCCATCTTCTCAGATTGCCAGCCATCTGAGTAAAGCACCCATAAAGATTCAGTCCCTGTCCCTGTTTATTGGGTTTTGTATGTGACAGGCAGCACGAATGCCATTTTTCTCTGGTTTCAGTAACAGAAGAGAACATTTTTCCCACCCCAAAACCTGACCACCATATTGTTAGAAATGTATTAGAGTTAGAGGCGGGGGGAGCTGGGTGGTCTGATTCATGTGCCTTTATTTGATGCTGTGCTTATAGGTGGGCTGAGTCTGGATTGACTGCAGCCTCTGGGGGAGGCAGGAATGGGGTTATGGAAAAAGCGTGGGGTTTGTGTAGGGGGTAGGGGAAGGTTAGTCTCTTGCTCTTCCAGGCGAGTGCCTCAGGGTTCCAGGATGTGAGCCAGGACAATGGGGTAGGTAAAGGGCCAGGCTGTTCCCAGGAACAGGAGGGTCAGCCTGAACACTGACCATTATGGCTAGTGTCAGAGGTCTATTGTGTGAGGTGGGAGAGAGTTTCCATTAAGCTGAGGGCTACCAAGCAAGTTGGGATAATTGAGTCATGGGCAGTCCAGTGGGTTGGAAAACTGGCCTGACCCTTTCACATATGAACCAATCTACAGTATAAAGCAGTGGATTCAAGTGTGAGAGCTGCTAGATCTAGTCTCTACTTAAAAGCTTCTAGGGATGCCCAAACATACCAGAGGAGAAATATACAAGGAATCTATGCAGCACAAAGACTAGTAAAAGGGAGTTTTGTATCAATTAACACCTGTTAGTGAACTATGTTCCATTAAAAAATAAATACGTGGTCGTTGCAGGATAGTTTTATTTACTTGCAGCAAGAAGCAGGGATTCATATCTAGTTCTTCCTGAAGGGAGGCTTAATTAGCCATTGCTTATATACACTGTTTGGTCGATTACACATCAGTGTCTTCTTTGTAGTTGGCTGCTTTCATTGGGTTGAGTTCTGGTAAGCTCATCCTGTTTACAGCTGCATCTACAAAATACTATGCAACATTTTAACATTTATTTAGTTTTTTTAAAGATTTTAATTTATTTTTAGAGGGGAAGGGAGGGAGAAAGGGAGAGAAACATCAATGTGCGGTTGCCTCTTACATGCCTCCAACTGGAGACCTAAGATTTTACCATTTAGAACTGTCCAGACCTGGAGACCTTTGTCCCAACTAACACCTGTATTAAAAAAGAAAGACGTAAAATTACCACTTAAGAGTTACACCTCCAGGAACTAAAAAAAGAACATCAAACTAAACTTAAAAAGCAAAATGAATACTTTGAACACTAAAAACCATGGTCAAAGGAAAATGTCCCAATTCATGGTACAGAAGACTTAACATTCCTGAAATAGCACTATTTCACAAAATAGTGTTTCATAGATTTATGTAGAATTGAAATGGAACTAGAATAACAAAACCAATCTTGTAAAATAAAAACAGTACTAGGACTAACATTTCTTGATTTCAAAGCTTTATACTAAACAAAACAAGACTGCATGGTACTGACAAGGCTAGACATATACATTTATGGAATAAACAGAAATAAACCCCTACATTTATGGTCAACTGATACTTGATAAAGACACCAAATGGAAAAAGAATGTCCATTTTACAGATTGTTACTAGGCCAAATGGACATACACATGGGAAAAAATGCAGGTTGTACACTTATACCCCATGCTATAATTTACCAAAAATGACCAAAGACCCAGTACAACATTAAACCTGTAATTGACTTAGCTAAAACAGAAAAAAAAATCCTGACTTTGGATTTGGTGAAGAATTTTCCCTATGACACCAGGGGCAATAATGGTGGAAAATTAGGTAATTTAGACTTCATCACGTTAATGAGTTTTGTACTTCAAAGGACACCATCTGGAAAGTGAGCGGGACCCTTTGGAACCCTGTGCAAAATTGCTGGAAATATAAAATCATGTTACATGTATGAAAAACAACATGGCAGTTCTTCAAAAAATTAGAAACTAAGTTATATCTGATTTAGCAATTTTATGCTGAAGAGTTGACAACAGGGACTCAAACAGACGTATTCATATGTCTGACACATGTTTATTTATTTATTTTTAGAGAGGAGAAGGGAGGGAGAGAAACATCAATGTGTGGTTGCCTCTCAAGCACCTACTACTGGGGGCCTGGCCTGCAATCCAGCCATGTGCCCTGACTGGGAATCAAACCAGTGACCCTTTGGTTCATAGGCTGGTGCTCAGTCCACTGAGCTACACCAGCCGGGGCTACACTTGTGTTTATATTAGTATTATTCACAACAGACAAAAGTTGCAAGTAACCTGTGTCCATCAGTGGCTGAATGGTTAAAAAAAGAAGTAGCACACACAATAGAATGTCATTCAGCTTTAAAAACAGCAAGTTCTGACACAAGCTACGACATGGAATAACTTTAAGGACGTTATGCTAAGTGAAATCAGCCTGTCACAAAAGGTCAACTACTGTGTGATTCCATTTGTGTGAGCACCTAGAGTAGTCAAATTCGTAGAGACAAAAAGTAGAATGATGGGTGCCAGGGGCTGGGGTATGGCAAGAATGGGGAGTTATTTTCCAGTTGGTATAGTTTCCGTTTTCAAGATAAGAATTGTTCTGGAGGTTGGTTTCACAATAACTGTGTACTCCATACCATTAACTAAATATACTTAAAAATGTAAATGTTATTGCATGTGTATACTGCCATAATTAAAAGTAAAAAATTTAATGCAAGAGAGTGAAAAACACAATCCACAGAAGGGAGGGAAATTTTGCAAATTATG